GAAAAAAATCCACAACCAATATTTAAAATATAGGATATATATTTCTCAATCAATGAAGATAATAATAATTAAATAACTGCTAATTTTGGTCAATGCCATCCTTCTTCTTTCTTCTTCTTCAGATAACTTGCACCATGAATGGTTGGGCAATCTCCGTTGGATACGAGAATAAAGTTTCGATACCATATCTAACAGAAGCCATCCCGTTTTCTGTCGAATATATCGCTGCTTCACTTATACGCTCAAAATCTGTATCAGTCTAGGTCACGGGTTCACGAGTCTTAGTCGCTTTTGAAGCCATCTACCACAGGGATTAGCGAGATATGTTAATCCCTGCGATGGTTGGTAAAGAAATGGCCTAATTATCGTACGCAATGCATTATGATGATAGTGTTGAGCAAAGGTGGATGCACCAATTTTATCTATTTATCTATTTGCATAAAATTATGTGTGTGTTTTCTTAATATCCTCCGCTATCATCGGATAAATTTCTCAGCTATATAAGATTGCATGTACTGCAGTCAGATAGATGTGGACTTTCGTTTTGACAGTAATCCGCGTCGATTCCGCAGCGGCTTCACCAAAACATGAAAGGTCATGAAAAAAAAAAATTTTCTAGCTGCAATTTTCTAGCTCTAATTTTTTTTCACTTGGCCTTTCATCATTAGAGATCCAACATCAATCCAGCATTTCCTCAACCTCTGATGAAAAAAGTAGATATTTTATCAGCAACCCAAAATGATTTGATAAAAATAGGTATTGGGTATATTTTAATAGACCCTGGTAAATTTTATCTTATTCACATGAGTCCAATTTTTTCCAGTTGTTGATGTTGATGTTTTGCACATTTTATTCTAATAGCTCACCACTGCTGGTCTCAATCCACTGGCGTCTCGAATAAGATATTTCCAAACCTTTCGGTTCGAAAAATGAAGTTTGACCTAAAGGATTTCTTCCACCGAATCTATGCAGCCTTTGAGCCTTAATAGGTGCACCATCATCATCTTGGATCACTTCGTGCATGATGAAGTAGGCTTCCTCATCACCTACTCAAGCAGTCTTCATATTCAAGGCAATATCACACCAACAGTTGTTTCTATTTCGCCATGCAGTTAATGTAACATACCTTCGAAACATCCAATAGCCAAGACCTCCTGAGATGTGCCCTGGCAGCCTTATCGAATAGGTAGCTAGCCAATGCATTTCCGAATGGCATATCCTAGCTTAACTTTGGATGGAACCAGTATTTATCGGCAGTTCTGACCCATTTGCCGTTTATATTATTACAGTTTTCCATAATTTGCTCCGAAAAACACGTACTGTTCCCAAATCTTTTAGCATGAGGTAGTTGAAAGGCCTTGCAGTTAGCAACTATTGTTTTTTATTTGAAAAACAACTGAACAGGGCGATAAGCAATGTGTTCGCATTAATAACAACGGATGGTGTGCCAAATGAATGAAAAATAGTAATATCGATATAAAATAAAGAAATATCAAAAATTAAACATGTAGAGAGAGAAATAATACAATAAAGGGGAATTATAGAACAATACAAACCCAACTGAATATCGAACTGATGCATGTATCTTATCTAGTATTAATCTTTTTCGTTAAATCTTCCCGTAGAAAACTTTTATTTGGCACAATCGAGCATCCCATCCTTTGTTATTAATGCGAACACATTCCTGTTGCGCAAAACAGAGAGGAGTGATCAATTATCTTTTAGTGGAGCACCAGCGATTTGTTTGACTCTTTTTTTCCATGCCCGACTTCCACCTTCCTTGGTAATATTAACATTAATTCTGGCATCAGCAACAACATTGCCAGTAGCCTATCAGCCTTTCTTATATAGGCTTTTCTGGCATATTTGTACCAGCTGAACATGGCTCCTCCTTTTTTTCAAAATATTTTTCGATAGTTTCTAGTTCTATCGAGGATTTCGATCGAACAGTGGAGGATATGATGTCGTTCACCACAGTCAATGTTTTCAAATTATTTTTTTCATGTTTCTCTTATTTTTAGTAATAGTAATTAATAGTATTAATAGTAATAGTTTAGTAATAGTATTTTTTGGAGGCATTTCAAATAAATATCCCTTTAAAGTATTCTCTTTTTTCTTGGATAGCAGATTCCCTTTATACCAATATAATATGACTAGTGAATAGAATGGCACAGTGGGTTGTTGCTCAATTCTGAGTGCCGATCCTGAGGTTCTATTCTATTCCCCGCAAGAGTAAACCTGTCTAAAAAATTAAATTCGGCTGGCGGCTCACCTGTACTTCTATCGCCAAAGGACTCTCTGTCATGCCCAGTGTGATAAGCCAGTGGAACGAGTTTAACTAGTAACGGTGAGGATTCTTAAAAAAAAAAAATATGGCTAATAAAATATTCGTTTTAGAGAAATGCAAAATAAGCATTAATTTTTAACGAGAAGTGATTGGCATCGATTATTAGAATAATATTTCAATTTCAAGATTTATTTTCATGGTGATTACCAATGTTAGTTCTACGATAGTATATCTAGCATGGAACTCTTCCATATACGACTGGTCAGGGTAGTAAACTTTGGTAGCAAAAATCCATGCTTTTCGGTAAAGCGATGAAGGTATCCTTGACATTGGTACACTGATGCCATATTTGTCAACTACAGATCATAGTAGCATCTACACTCTTTTGATTATGAACAGGTCATCTTTTGGGAGAGATTCTATTAGCAGTTGAAGTCCCGCATAAGTCTTCTCTCTGTCTTAGTGATCTTTATATGAAGTAGGAGCATACACTAATAGCCAAGGAATTGAAGAATCCAATTAAAGTGAATTGAGCCTTTTAGAAATCTGAAGAGCGCGATTTAATGATACCAGCATTCTGCTCGAAATTTAAAAATTGCTTATGATCCAAAAGTGGGGAGAAAAAAATTCATTTTATTCTCAATTTTGAAATCGTTTACTTTTTTTTTAAGAACATTCAATATTAGTGGTTAATCTCGTTCTTCTGGCTTGTCGTGTACTATATGAATATGGAAGGAATCCCATGGCGATAGAAGTACAGGTGAGCCAACATCACCGGGATTTTTGGGCAGGTTTACTCCTGTGAGGGAATAGAGCTTCAGCATCGGCACTTCGAAATGAGAGCAAAAAGCCACTGAGCTATTCTATTTCCCTTTAGTTTTAGCTTTTCCTCGAGGCCTTCATTCTCAGTGACAGTTATCGACTCCGACGCACCAGTAAGAATAACTGTTCTTTTAAATTCATATTTTGAAGAATCCAATCAGATCAACCCTAATTATTTCTTAAATTATGGCATCAATTCAAAATCAGTTCAAAAATAAATAAAAAACAAAAAATATACTGGAATTTTATTTTAAAATTTTTTAAAATTATTCATTTATTTTAATTTTTGCTTTTCTTTGTCATTGGCAGGAGTAAAAGCTTCCATCTGAGCAGCTGCTGGGGATTCATCCGTATTCCCAAGTAACCCTTAAGCTCATCACAGTTAAAAGTAGTGAAACAAAAACTAGAAGTTGTTACCAGAAATATATTAACTATAAGCACTATAAAATGAATTCTGAAAATTTTTTATTTATTATATTATAACATCGGTAGCACAATGGCAAAATAATTGAGAGAATCGAGGCTTCCGTATGATTCTAAATGCACCACTCTTCATTAGGCAGCACTATCGCCCTAAAAGAGAAAATAAAAGGAGAGTGAAATGGCTCACTGGGTTGTTGCTCAATTCAGAATGCCAATGCTGGATTTCTGCTTAAGCCAGGAGCAAACCTGTTCAAAAATCTGCGTGATGCTAGCTTCTATTGCCAATGGACTGTCCGACATATTTGTCTAGTCCGACAAGCCAGCGAATCGAAATAAAAAAAAACGGTATTGAATTGTATTCCGTATTTATTAAACAATACGAAAAAGGCTCATATAAATCGTGATAGAATTTAAGTTATTTATAAATTTATTTCTCTAAATGAAATAACGGTTTTTTATAAAATCTATATGGAAAATGTTTAAAATATATAAAATGTATATACGGACATTCCAGATGTTCCAGGTCAGGAATTTATTTTTATTGACTCGTACTCGAATCATTATCCATCCTATATATATATATATATATATATTAATGGCGCCTCCAAAGTTTCATGATTTTTATGGGGAATAATATTTATATTTTTTGGTATTGAATCAAAAATGAATCCGTTTTTCAGGAATAACAATACAGAAAATCAAGAATATTTTTATTTGGCCAAATTTTTAATTGACGCAAATGGAAAATAGTCGTAAAATATTTCAAGGAACTCTTATCGCCTTTTTTTTAGTGATTTAACTTAAAAATAGCATTGAGCAAAACTAATTAATTGCGATAACGATATATATGAAAGAGTTAGAGATATTTTTTAAATATGGAATTAAAGCAGTCTGAACAAAGAAGAATCTTACATTTGAAATATTTTGCTTGAAATTCACGTTTCACAAAAAGAAAAATGCAGTTATCCATTCATATTTGATACTTGGTTATTGGACTAAAGGTATTATAATATATCACCTCAATTAAAATCAAACCCATCTTATATTTGGTCGCTCCCTAAGTAAGGTAAACTTGCCATTAAAACTCAGAATAATGCTGGGAACGCATCTGTATCCCTAGCGCCAAGGTACTCTCTGGCGAAGATTTAGGATCAGCCAAATCAAAACTGCTATAAGAAGAAATATTAAATTTTAATTTACAAAAACGACAATATTTTTGAATAAATTCATTAGCAAACAATATTTAAAGTAGCCAATTCAATTTATAACAAGCATTTTTTCAGAAATTTCAGATCTCATTATAAATTCAGCTGAAGAAATCCATATAAACAAAAAATATCACAGAAATAAACTTGTTTGCCACGAGGTAGAATTAAAAACCACTATGAATAAGATTAATTTTGCAATATGCCTTGAAATGATAGGCCCAGAACGAGAAAACAAATCGTAGAATAGAAAATTGAGATGATTAAACCATTTTACGTGGTTTTATATAACAAGAATATTTTTGATGAATTAATCCATTATAGAACAGAAAATTCCCACCTTCTTTTGTAATGTTAACTGCGATAAAACCACCATTTGTGAAACCAAGTTGTGATAGTGGATTGAAAGAGCTTGGATAACTAAAAAAAGAATTTTGGATTATGATATAATCTTTATGATATAATTATGATTATAACAATTATAATGCTATTCAATAGATCTCTGTGAGACAATAGCCGAATGATTGTTGTCAGATCATCACTCCCAGCATTAAGGTCTCAGTTCCATTTCCAATAGGAATAAGCAAGGTAACTGGATAGTGTTGGTACCGCATGTATCTAAGTTCTTTCCTTAAAAAATTTCTCATCGCACTACGATGACCATATATAACTATTTATTTATTTATTATTTATTTTACTTTACAATACTAAACTTACCTAATATTTTCTCAAAATTTTTTTCAAAAACATTCACCATTGCTAACTCGCTTCACTAGCTTCGGATTAGACAAAGTGCCAGGGAGCCGCTTGGTGATAGAAGTAAAGACGAGTCACCACCTGGATTTTTGAAGGACAGGTTTACTCCTGCCAGGAGTTGAACCTCGGCATCGGCGCTCCGAATTGAGCAACAACATTTCTCCATTAGGCGACGTTGTCAACCCGAAGAATGAGAATGACGCATTGGTGGATTCGAACCCAAGCCTCGATTCTCTGTGGCATCATTTATCTTGTCACTAAACCACCGAATCACAACGCAATACTTTATTGCTAAATTTTTTTCAAGTAAACTAAAATTTACTAAAAGTTATGGTAACTTATCCTGGAATTTTTATTTAATTATTGTTTATTTAAGAGGTTGATATCATTTATTTTCCCATTTTAATTCACAAAAAAATTAAAAAAATTAAAGAAAACCGAAAACGTAGCGAATCAGGAGGAATATCTTTCATGTGCTTTTTCGAATTATCTGATCGAGATGAGGCACCGGACACAATATAATTCATCACAAATTTCTCATTAGGTTGCATCGGATCTTCATAGGAAACGACCAAATGCTGAAACACTTTTCTTTCAACGACGAAGCGGATTTATTAATAGACACGAGCCAGGATAGCCATCATTTTACAATCCCATATCTTATTGAGATGATGTGGAGATAAAATGGCTGAGTGAGTTGTTTGGAGCGCCGATTCTGAGGCTCGATTCCCGGCAGGAATGAACCTGATGCTGGTGACTCACCTTATTTCTATCGCCAAAGGACTCCCCGGCATACTGCGACAAGCTAGTGGAGCGAGTTTAACCAGTAATGGTTAAGACTCTTAAAAAAAAAATTAAAATGAGGCATGTAATATAAAGGATTTACTATTTGCAGAAAAATCGTAGGTAAAAATCGTACGGCTTTTAATGAAGGACGTGAAAAACATGTGATCATGTGCGAAAATCATGTGCGAAATAGTTCTTAATATCTTCTGCTAACAACACCAGCCATTTCTGGTTTAGCTAATTGAAAAGTAGGGTGAAATTATTTGCTATAGAGTCATTCGAAAATTGATTGCAGATAGATCCTTATGCACTATTTGCGGTGGTTTTAGACGTGGCATTTTGTTCTTTAGAATCTGATCTTTACAATCTTTTGGGATTAAGAAATAAACTTAATTGAAATTGTTGAAAAATTTTGGAAATTGAGATTTCAGTGCACAAGACTTATATTCTCTCTTATACTCTCATTTTCATTTAATTCATCAGAAGTTGTGAGCTATGATGCCAAATAATGAATGCAAAAAAAAAGATTCATTAGCAAAAGACTTACTTGCAAATTGTGGTCATGTCCAGAGAAATAGGCTGAGACATGGTATTTTTTTAATATGGGATTTAGCTTGTCAATTAGGCATTGTGTAGGTCCATGATCAGCTACTGAATAAATTGGATAATGGCCCACAACAAATAGATAATCGCTTCTAAAATTTATTTATGGTCTTTTAAAGTACCTAATAGTACTTTTAAAGTACCTTCTAATCACCTGTATTAAAATTGAATATAGATATATCTAAAATACAAATGCAAATAGAATGAAATGCACATTTTATCTATTTGATCTTATTTATAATTTTTATTATTCCTATATATAGTTCAGATACTAATATTCGTTGTTATAGATGATTGGATGCCCAATAATTCAGCTTTTCAAGCTAAATGAATTACTTTGAAGTATTAATTTGTAGTTCGATCCAGTCCAGGTGCTCTTCAGCTGCCTTGGGATCCTTTGGCTTATTTGGGTTTTCAATTTTTTGCGATATGATCATTTCCAGAAAATTCGCATTATCAATATCTCTTGTATTACCACACAGCATAACTGTGTCGATCATAATAAAATCAACCAATGTGGGATCATTACCAAACGCATATGAAATCTTGTAGTATAATGATGGAAATTTCCTAAATCAGATATAACATAATAAAATCTTAATAAAACATGACAAATAAACGATAAGCGATAACTGATGACAAAAAGAATACTTGAATAGAATATTATTTCTAAGGTCAAATAACAGTTAAGAATTCTATTTCTTAGTAGAAAAATCTGTCAAGTGAAGTCTGTGTGGTACTAGAAGAACATTTATAATCTAAGTTCCTATTATTTCCTATTATCCTTAGGTAGACCCTCATTGTTTATTATTTCTGATTAGGTTAGTCCTGCCGATTAATAGTACTTAGGTTAGAAATTTTTGCTAGAGAACTTAGTAATAAAGATATAGATGGTTAACACCACTCGAATTTTTTAATGACAAGTTTTTGCCTTCTAATCAGTGACTATATTGCAAAGAAATTTTAATAGCCAATGAAGCTAAAACAGCCATAAAGAACCATAAATGATGGGGGTTGTTGAAAGAACAGCTTAATTCGTCAACTAACCATTTTGTACTCCTATCTGTGTAAGCGATTTGGCCAGTTATATTGCCAAAGTGGTCATGATTGCCCGCAATCATATACCAAGGAATATCAAGTGCTTCATCATTATATATATCTTCGAATGATGTCTATAATATAATTTGTAAATCTTCGCATTATTTTTTGAAGCTTTATTTCAGGAAAATTCAGTTTCTTATCGATTTCGGCCATATTTTTTTCAGTCTGCCATCCACTTTAAGATTAATTTAAGTCGATTCACCTTATTGCAGAAATTTTGAATTAAAAAAGATGGTTTACTCTGAATCTCTCATCATTTTCGTTCGCTACGCCGTTATAGTAAATGTTATCACCAGCTGACATAATAAACTTAGGCTTCACTCGGTGGCTTTTCGATAATTTTACCATAGCTTCAGCCACCTTAATCTGAGCGTAAGTTTTATATGGGAAAACAGGTATTCCTGAAAATTAATTGAAAATTAATTGAGATGAATATGATGAAATTCAAAAGGCAAGGACTTAAAAAATCCAACCTCCACTATCACCAATAAGAAAAAAGTTTAAGCTACTGGAACTTGTACTTTTGCAAATACAATTCATGCATTTTGAATTATCTGAAAAGTATTTAGTATTTAACCACAGTTTGCAAGCAAAAATTTTTTTAAATTGATTAACATAGATTAAAATTAAAATTGACAGCATCGTTTCCTATTTTAATATTAAATTTATAAATATTAAATTAAATATTAAATTATCAACTGCTATGAATAAAGTAGGACGAATGAATATTTTTCGTTTCATTTTTGCTCAGCTTGCCTATAATTATGCTCAAAATTCGCTGTAATTACCCACTAGGAAGCGATCATCAATAAAGCTTGTCACTGGAAAAGTCAAATCACTGGGTATCATTGGTTGAAAATATCACCTCCAAGATGTCGTTGATCCTTAAGATCACCAGCATCCACTGTAAATAATATCGTTGCAAATATATATAATAGGAACTTGTTTTGCATCGTTACTGAAATATAATTTTTAATATTTAAAAAAAATAATCATTGTAAAATAAACTTGTTTCGTTAATCAGATCGATCATCCAATGTGAGAATGAATTTTATAAATAATTTTTATAAATAAATGTTTCGCTACTCTTCACAGTTACAATACCGCATATATTCTCTATAGAAAAGAGAGGAACTCATACTTTTAGAAGAACTTTTTAGTTAAAAGTATCAGAACAAGGGAGTTCTAAGTAAAGGGAATTTTGCATGTTGTAGGTCTACATTTTTCAAGCAACAAACGTAAGCAAGCAAAAAGGCAAAAGGCGCAAATGAAATGCCAGAAGACAAAATTATTGAGGTAATAAACCTAAATTATATCATTAATACCCCAGTTATGGGTAAAAATGGATCAGCAGATTGTTTCTTAACTACCCAATGCGGCGATTCTTCTCCAGTCAGCAACAAAATTCCTTTTATTTTTTTAAACCGCGTAGTGCTGAGGACCCATCTGCATTTCTATGGACAAATCATTCCATGATTATTCTAATCCGAGAATGAGTTAATCAAAAATGATCAGCCTTGTCCGAAAAAAAGGAAAAAATTCAATTTCTATAACATTAATTCTTTTGCATTTTTTGGCATTTATTGATCAAACTTTTTTAAAACTATATTTTTCCTTTCCAAGGGCGAGTTTTTTCCTTGCAGTTAGAAGAAAATATTTCGGCTCTTTGCCCATTGTCTCGTTAAAATCTGCGAAATTATGAAACATTAAACTAATAATGTTAGCCAAAACTCGTCCGAAAATGAACAAAATGTTATATTAATGGTAAAATATCTTAAATAAGATCATAGAATGATCAAAAAAAAATTATAGCAAAATTTCTTTTTGGACAGCAATTTTTTATTTGTCAAATTTTATATCTAGTTTTGAATCGATTAAAAAATTATTAAGAAATATCAATATAATTTATAAAATATGAATGATTAAATTGTTTCATCTAAATGTCTTAAATGGTTGCCAAAAAAAATCATCGTGAGACTAGCTTTACAACGTAATTTTGTTCTCAAGATGAATTGCATCAACGGTATAATTTAGGTTGAAAGTTGGTCGAGAGAAATTTTAGATTATTCGTACAAAACCAATTGATAACGACGAATTATTATTTGCGAAAAATCGATTTAGGACTAGCATGATCTTACTTCGAATAAGGCCATGCAACATGGATTCTCGTTCTTTCCTTTACCTGGATATTGGCTATGATTGAGTGGTGCAGATTAGCAGGAAAATTTATCTTGAAAGGTTATTCAAGTCCTTCATCGGCCAAATTTTAAATCTGCTTGATCTACCTACTGAATCTTTTCTATTTCTCTAATTTTCCTTAAAATTCATAAAATTTCTATAATGTTATTCCAACTGAACTTAGATATTTGTAAGAAAATTAATCCATAATAGCAAACTGAACTAAAATATTCGACATAAAGATAATAATACAATGATTATTACTCGCCTCATCTTATATTTCATGAATTCATGATTTAACGTTGCATCATGTTGATTATAATATTAATAATATTTTAATCGAATAAAACTGAATGAGAAGTGAAATATGAACGAAAAATTTGAGTATCTAAGTTAATACCACTAATACTATCTAAACTATTCACGATTTCTGATCGCAGTGGTAATTACGATGAGATCCATTTATCAGAGAATTTTTTGGTGACAAAAGCAGTTGAGTTTCCTCTCTTGATACTTTTAATTTAACATCATAAAGGAACAAAAATCGATGGTATTTGAATTCAGATGAAGCAACTCACTATTCGACCATTACCATTTTAGGAGAGACTGTTATTAACTATTGATGCTCAATTGAAAAAAAAGCATTGTGAAAAATTTGACGATAGATAAATTTTCATTAATCTGTTAAATAAATAAGCTACGACGTACAATAGAAATATAAAATAAATTTATTGATAAATCAAGCAAAATTGTTGAATATAATAAATTGACGAGCAAAGAACGACTAATTATAAACTGAAAAATTAAGTTCAAGAACAAAAATTTTATGAAAAATGTGAAAAATCATGGTCGTTGATCGGAAATTTTTATGACCATCTTTCAGTGAATAACGCAAAATTATAAAAATATTGCAGAAAATCATCTCGAATAATTTGATAAATTTTTCGATGTTGGATTAATCAAGTGATAAAATTTGAATCACAATTCGTATGATGTGAATCATTTTATTTTTTAATATTTTTTTGGAAGTTTTAGAGACAAATATGTCAAATCAACAATGTATCATAATCTGGAAAAGTTGCAATCTATTCTTCTCCTATTCTCATAAAAAATTCTCTTATCCTTGAATCAATGAATCAGTAAATTGTAAGTAAATTTTGCTTATAAATAAATGGCTAATAGTCATCATTGGCTAGGCTAATTGATCTGGCTGTTAGAAGGATTAGAAATTTTTGCCAGGAAATCATTTGACGATATAAGTCGTCAGTATCATTTGAATTTTCAAATGACAGGTACTCTCTACTGAGGTCTATTTCGTAAGGTAAATGGGGTATTCCTTCTTCATCTTCCAACAGCTCTCACCATTACTGGTTAGGTTTGCTCCGTTGGCAACAAAGGTAAGAAGTCTCCAAGCTGTTCGGTCCGACGCCATCTACTCTAGTAGTAATAAGCCATTCCTTTTTCCATCGTCCAAGTCCATATATCGCCGGTTCTTCAATATGCTCGGAATTTTTCCTGACTGTACAAATCCAGGTGTTGATTGGCCCTTCACGCTTTTAACGCCAATCCCATCACAGGCTTCGACAGATAGCGAAATATTCATCACTTCCTGCGATGGACCACGGAGAACGTGCTCTAACCAGCGAAGACGACGGTCTGTAATATTATTAATACAGGTTAATACAGGTAGTATTTGAACGAAGTTGGATATAATCATGTGCGAATTTATCCATTCGATGCATCCGTATGAATGGTTAAAAGTTGATAATTTTTTAATATTTTCCATTCTTATTGGCCATGTTTCGCAATCATATAGCAAGATCGAGCGAATTGTAACTATATGGACGCGGATTTTCGCCTTTATGGTGATTTCGTGATGGTTCCATAAAGATTTTGTCAACTGGGAAGTACGTTTCTAGCTGTCGTTATCCAGGTTAAATTTCATCCTTCGTCCGATCATTTGGGAATAGAGTGGATTTATGATATTTAAAACCAAGCACTTCCTCAATCGGCAATGAATTGGTTAAAATAGGTATTTCTTATATATAAGATGAAAATACTTTGTTTTTATTTACGTTGATTTTGAGTCCAATTCTCGCTGCAGTCGTTAACACGTTGTTTAACATTATTTGCATAACAATATAACTGTCAGCAAAGAAGACCACATCTTCAGCATTCATGCATTCATTGGACTGATTTGCACACCCCTTGAGTGGCGACAAGCGATGCCTATTATCCATTCTATCGCATAGTTGAATATTGTAGGGGAAAGGAAGCAGCCCTGACGGACACCAGTTCTTATTTCGAAGGAGTCTCATATACACAGACTTATACCAGGGTATGCTAACAAAATGCCTTTATGAGCCGAATAATCTTCTCTGGGACACCTTTACATTCCATCACTTTCCAAAGCGCTGCTATTAATCGAATCGAAACCAGTAGAAAAATCGATAAAGTAAGTGGTGGGTTGCTGGTATCTGAGTGATGCTCCAGCATCCTTCTTGGCGTAAATATCTAATCATCTCAACTGCGTTCCGGTCTGAATCAAACTGTATTCTTCTATCTTGTGTTGCCATGAGTTTATTCAGCAGAAGCGAAAATTTTTCATCTGGAGATGTCCAGTAGACTGATTCCTCGGTGATTGTCGCAATAGGTCTTGCCACCTTTCTTAAGAATTTTCAATTTATTATGCAAGAAAAATGAAAAGTAAGGATGTTGCTTTGAAATAATTTAAGCGCTAAAAAAAGAAAACCATTGATGCATTTAGTGAAAATCAGAAATCATTGAGAGATACTGAATTAAATTCTAATTAGATTCTAACTGGAAATCCTAATTGGCTTATATGATTTTATTACTTGTATTAATCGAATAAATCACGAAATAAATCTAAAGCCGTCTGAAAATCGTTAATTTGCTCATTAACGATGTAACGAATAGCCAATGGAATAGCTCAGCCATTAATGATTAATTCAAATCCACTGATCCTTTCTTATACAATGTATAAATTTTATCGTTTACTAATAAGCAACTGCACCTTTCTATCACAAAGTTATTTAAAAGATGATAAGAGAAAATGATCTTTAAGCTTTCAATTTCGGTTTCCAGCTGTGGATAGCCTAAGGCCCAGGAAATGCTCCATTCGAAAATAGTCTAATTGGACCAAATAATCCATCCAACATTCTGCAATTCTGCACTTTATTTTACGCAGAAAAAGAATTTATATATGAATTTTTTCACGAAAAACTAAAACTTCTATTGTTTAGATCGGTGAAAGCTACAACAATTATTCAAATAAAATTGGAAAAAATCGATGGATGCAAGCAAAGATGATAGTTAATAACGAGTCTTTTAATATGCGAAATAGTCTAATTGGACTAATCGACTAATATTTGTTGCTAATGAAAATTTCGTCGAAACTCTTGAAAAAAAACAAAGCTGAAGATTGAAACATTTATTACTTTCACTCAATAAATAATTAATAATTTATTTCGTTGGCAACATATTAAATTGAAAAAGTTTTGGTGATATTAATGATAATACACCAAAAAACCACTATCACTAAAATTCACAATTTTGAATCGTTCATTGATCATATTGTTATAATTATGATTCAGTGTTTCATGATTATAAAGTAGAGAAAGCGCAGAAAAAAACTAACACATGAATAATACCGACTTCTTTGATCACAATATCAATTACAAATGGCTGTTTAGCAATGGATGAAATAGGCTCAAAACCAACGAATAGCCTATCAGCCATCAAGAAAGAGTTATAAACGATGAAGCTAGTCAATCCATCAATATGGTGAATATTTTTGTAGGAAATATTTCATAGATTTCTATATCATGTGAGTCATGCATGCAATATTGTATTACGAGCATTTCAGCTGAAATAGTCAAAGTTAAGGTTAAAAAATCGTTGCAGAATCTTTTGTATATATATATATATATATATATATATAATTCACATTTAGATATGAAAATGTATGAAAATGAATTAAAATATGATGATAATATGCAAGCAAAATAATGATTATGCTTTTTCTCCAAGATTTTATCGTCAGAAACTGTTGAAAAAAAATTGCGCTTTCTAATGATATTGAGCTATACATATTAGCGGTTTCTTATTCGAAAGACCTTATTTTTTATGCCGAATCTGCCATCTTCATTGAATGTTTGCGCATGAAATTTATCACAAAGAGGTTTCATTTGTATAATACATTCTAATAATTGTTAAAATAATAAATTTGAAAATAAAAAGTAGATCTAAAAGTTAAAAAAAAACTTAATGGGGACATTTCAATATTTTGCCTACTGCAAAACAAACATATGCAATTGCAGCAAAAATTGGTCGAGGGTATTTTGAGGCGCTGATAAATTAAATTTTTTAAATTTTGTCAATTTTTCTTACAATTTAATCTCTATCTGCAGTAACAATGCAGACATTTCTTGATCAGATGGCATATTAAATTGATAAGTGGTATTGATAAGTGGTTTGCGCTCACGCTTTCTGGTTAGATTAGCTTCTGACTTTTAGTGTGATTAGAAATTTTCGCGAGAGAGATCCTCATTGATAGAAGTATCAAATATTCAAATCCAGCAACACCTGGATTTCCAATGCCAGTTTTACTCTTAGCAGAGGAATAAGATAATATAATCATTATCCACCAGAAACTGCAGAAAGAATAGGACTCAGGGTCAATGTACAAAACGAAAGTCTTTTCGTCTTATGTGCAAGAAGCTGATAAAATGCCTCTTTTCATAAATTCATTGCCGGTTGAGGAAGTGCCAGATTTTAAATGCCTTGGGTCCACTCTAATACCAAATGGCCAGGCAAAAGATTATAACCCGGATCATTGGTAGCTAGAAATGCATTCTTCCGGTTGACGAAACCTTTATGGAGTCGTCGTGAAATCACCATAAAAAAATCCGCATCTATATAGCCGTGATCCGTTCGATCTTGCTATATGGTTCTGAGATATGGCCAAAGACAGTGGAGTATATTAAGAAACTATCAACCTTTGACCACTTTTGTCTAAGGTGTATTTTACGGATTCGTCGAGCAGATAAAATTTTATCTAAGATATATCACATAATCACATCCACCTTTTCAAACACCACCTGTATTTATAATGTTATCATAGAGCGTCGCATGCGGTAGTTAGGGCATGTTCTCCGTCGTCCACCACAGGAGTTGACGCATATTTCGTTACTTGCTAAACCGTGTGATTGGTGACCTCAAAAGCGAGGTGGGCCAATCAAGACCTGGATTGACAAGGTCAGGAAAGATTTTGAACATATAAATGGACCAGCAATATATGGACTTAGACGATGGAAAAAGGAATGGTTTCTATTAATGTCGACGATGGCATCAGACCGCGCCGTTTGGAAGTGTCTTTCCCTTGTATCCGTTGGAGCCAGCCTAACCAGTAATGAGAGCTGTTAGAAGATGAAGAATCATTATCCACTCGATTATCTCAGTTTTTGATCTTACCAGGTATTTTTGGCTCTATAGAAGCGAAAGAAATTGCTTAACATATTAAATAATAGTTCGTCCATTTTTGAACTTTACTATTTTTCATTCTTTCTTTATTTTGTCTTTATTTATTTTGCCTGATATCTGTCGAGTGTTGTATCAATTGACTTTATCAATTGAAGAGATCGTGGATCGATTCCTGTCCACTGACAATCATTTTCACAATCAGTTTTGTTTTCCACATTCCATTCCATTTATCTTTTTCATATTTTATTTATATTCAAACATAAATCCTTATCCTTTTTATCCTTATCCTTTATCCTTTGTCTATGAAAAAGTACGATGAAATTTTTTAACAAATTGAACAAGATATATTTTTAAAATCAGTGATATTTTGGTTCATTGGAAAATCGAACGTGGATGCTTCATCTGAACTTCACCATTATCTTTCTTTCAGTTTTAAACCAACGATAGGTTCAGTGTGATCGACAACTGTGGAATTTTATCTGAGGGCGTTTTCACTTTAAAAATATTCATTACTAACGTTCAACAAGTTAGAATCGATCAATGAGAATTTAACTAAAACATATTTTCTTCACAACACGCAGATCAATTTTAACCATTTATCTTAAAATAGTATGGGTTGTTTTTAAAATTCCAAATTTTAAAATCATATAAATCTAAATAGAAGCTGTGGTACATGCAGCGGTTTGCCCAAGCAGCTGCACCACTTACCAATGCATTACAAAGGTTTGTTCATGAAATTTTCGAAGTGCTCTCTACTTCGATAAAATACTTTATTCGATTTGGTGGACCAATGTTTCGTTTTTTGGATTTTTAGTTCTCCAAATTAATTTTTATCTCTTATTTTTATAATTCTTTTATTTTTTTATACTTTTTTTTTATCCTTTCTTTGAAATTATGAAAAATTATTTCAAATAAATACCACTTTCGCTTTATATTCAATGCCCTGTGCAGTCAAATATCTATGGATTTAGAACCTCGCTAGATGTGCAGTTGATTTTCAGTCAGTTCTTCGATTACAGTTTTTTCCACCATAATATTTTTTCATCTTCCTAATATGTCCAATCTATAAATTTCTCTGATAAACAATTTTTTTTAACTTTTTAAATTTATTATTATGTATGTATTTAGTTATTATCATAAAAATGAGTGATCATGATTATACGAGCTCAACAACAGTCACAACGTGTTATGTAGAACAGCGACAGTTTGAACCAGTTTTCGCTGACTTATCTTCAGCTCACCTCGACTTGGATTACCTAAAAACATTATCTGGAATGGTGAAATGTATTGCAATTGTAAGGGATTTTTAGAACAAAAATTGAAAAATTTCCCTTTTCATCTTTAAGCTAATTTCACTTTTCATCTTTTTAAAAACAGAATCTTTGAAGCAATTTTATTTCATTTTTATTTCATTATTAACATGGAAAATTTCTTCTTAATTTAGTTTAAATAAGGACATTGATGATTATTATTGATGATTAAAAGTCTTTAGAGCAATCTATAGCTGCAGAAAAATTTGTTTTTTTGATGGTCATTTAAACCAGTTTTGTCGTAAAACAAATTTAAAATCAATAGAGATCTACAAAAACCCTAGTTGTTTATCCAAAACTTGATATTTGTATCCTAACCACTGCAACAACTATTTCAATTTGCTAAAGTCGTAAATTTAATATAAAATTTGTTAAAATTTCCTTTTCATCCTATTTTTCAGGTACTCAACTTCATATGTTTTATATGTCTATTGGCAGGTGGTCCAGCGTATTTCTCTGGGGCAGGCTGGGCAACTTTTGTCACTACTGTCGGATTAGGAGTGTCGCTTACTTTGCTTTGCCTTTATCTCTTTCGAATTGTCGACATTGTAACGCGGATCCCATGGATAATTTGTGTTAGTTTTTCACATTGATGCCATTTGCTGCTAACAGACTCAAAAACATTTTTTTATCGCTTATCGAATTTTACGGAACTTTTAATAACCGACAGTTAAAAATTTCTGATTTGTTTGTCGTTGTGATTTGAATTTTATATGCAAATGTATAAAGCTTTCTTCTAGCTTTCTACATGAATCTCTTTCGAATTAATCAAAGCCACTTTTTATAGTGAAAAGACCAAATTAGTAAGAAAAGATACAAAATTCATCAATATTAGCTGGCCAACAAATTCCATTAAATTCTCTAAAAGCGAATAAGAATTTAAAGAATTTTTAAAGAATTCAAAATTTAATTCAAATTTAAAAAATTTTCAAAATTTTTCGAATTTTCAAATTTAACTTTGGTAGAATTAAAAAAATAAAAAAATAGAGAATGAAATTGGAAATTTATGGCTGAAAATTGGTCATGGAATTATTTAGGAAATGATTTTCTGCTTCGCGTGGACCATATTTTTTTTTATTACTGCTTCCGTACTGGCTGTTGCTTCAGTCAAGTATCGAACTGGAGCGGGATATGCAGCTGCAGCTGTGAGTGCTACATTTTTCGGGCAAGATAATCTATACTGACATTGGCACGGCAAGTTAGCCGAGTGATTGTTGCTTAGATTATCATCTCGAACGTCAATATCTTAGCATGCTTCCGGCAAAATAAGCCTATCATTAAAATACCCGGTTGGTGGACCCATCTATGGTTTTATTCCGAGTGATTGTACTGATAGCCGGTAAGTGAAACGAGCCTAAATGAAAATAATAAGCCTTAAACCATTTATTTTTAAGTTATAGTGATAAATGACAGAGCTAGAGAAATTGAAAAATTAAAAATATGTTCACTGAAATTAAGGATCTTTTCACATCAATGAATTTTCCAGTTTTTCGCATTTGGTGCAATGTGTACCTATGCCTTTGATTGTTATCTGAAATTTCTGGCTTGGAAAGCAAATGAAATCGCAACTGGTGGTACTCCTATGACAACTACCTATTCAACTGGCCCATCAGTACAAAAAAAAGTTGTGATCAGTGAACCTTATAAACAGTAAAATAACCATTCTACATGTAAAAATGATAATCCGTACTTTACCTTTTATTTTTGATGAAGCAAAAATTCGAAATTTTCGAAAAATCTACAGCAAATTACAGTTCGTTTTGTTAATTGTATCATTTAATTAATTAATTTCATTTATGAATTTTTTTTAAAAATACATATGTATTTATTAATAAATTTACCTTTACAAGTAGGAACGGATAATTAATTATTGCATTAAAATTTCATAAGCGAGGCTGCACAGTTATCTATTGTTGAAATATTATCACAGCGAAAAAGCGAAAACTGAATTTCGCTTAAGCAATCCAACAATCCATGAGCGAAAGCAAATGCTTCGTTCACAGCATACCATAAATTTACAGGAAAATTGATCCCATTTCGTTATAGCTAATTTCCTAAAAATGGAAGCTGAGGAATAAAAGTTTTTGTAAATTTATCATCTGCTTTCACTTAATTTTCGGAATAAAAAATAAAAAAGGCCTACAAAAACAAATTACAAAGGGAATTAAACAAACATAAGCATTACAGTGTGCTTCATATATTAGTTACAATTATAAATCTTCCCAGTTAAAGATCTACTGTTTGAACCTTGGCTTTCACTAAAAGGATGGCGAGAAATTAAAGCTCAGAATCTATAAACCAGGCATAGATAATGTTTCTTAAGAATTGCTTTGCTTTAATGGGGCCAGAGAAATGCAATATCTAAAATAAACTACAAACTAAAGGTGAGGAAAGTTCTAATTTTATGAATTAAAATATAAATATGAATTAGGTTTAGGGGTACAAATCTACATATTACATATACTATTCTCTATGACAAGAATGAAATGAGGAAGAAAGGTCATATTATATTTGATTCAATTTAGGTATGTCGAAATAACAAAATTACATTGGTATACGACTGTAATCTGGAAATTCTTGGATATAAAATCAAGAAGAATAGCAATGCATATGGAAAATGAAGAAGAAAAATTAGGGTAAAATGTAGATAAATTAGTCAGTTGGCTGAAGAGAAGATAATGAAGAATACGAATAGATGTAATAAACTGTCATGAAACTATCGGTGATCGGTGATCTCAAATGACATGCACTTGATGCAGATATCAGAAACCTGAAAACTATGATAAATAATTCAAAAATCTCATTCATGGTTAAATCAGATAAAATGCATTTGATTGAAAGACTGAGAAAAGAGAGAACTGCAAACTGCTTAATTTACTTTTATGAAATAAGTATGCTTTCTTTCGACATTTCTCTTCTTTTTTAAGAATTCATAGCATAATCAAAATGAAACGCTACAAATGCATTGATTACGTATGTGCCTCCTCCATTTTTTAAAGATAAAATACCAATTTTTTAATTGATAAAGCAAATTATATTTCTGCCACGAAGGTGCTTCAGGCAATCGTGAATTATGATCCATTGCTGAAATTTCTTTCAGTTTTCAATTTTCTGCTAAATCTTTGTATATATATATATATTAATAATAATATATATATATTATTGTATATATATATATATCCATAATTATTTCAAATCTCCATCTCCATTATTTTACAGAGCGTCGCTAGCACATGTCGCCCACCACAAAAGTTGACACATATTTCCTTAACACTGTGATAGGTGGCGTTAAAAGTAAGGTGGGCTGATAAAGATGTGGACTGACACGGTCAGGAAAGATTTTAAACGTATAGGTGGACCAACAATATGTGGACTTAGACGATGGAAAAAAGAGTGGTTTCTATCGATGATGGCATTAGATCGCTCAGCTTGGAAACTCTTGTAGCCAGTGGAGCCAGCCTAACCATTAATGGTGAGACCTATTAGAAAAAGAATTATTTCAAATAAATATTCATTATTTCAAACAAATTTTATATGTGCTCTAACATCTCAGGTGTTTTTTGCGTTCTAACTTAAATCGCGCCTTAATTCTACAGTTTTTTATTTGACATATTATAACATGTTACTTTCTAGGGAAACAAAAATTGTTCTACGAATTTAGGGTTACTTTAGAGTCACTTTTTCCTAAGAGCTAAAAAGTTTTTGGTAACAAATCTTCCGAGATCGTTTGGTGAAAACTCATTTCAGCTTTCTGCAGTGGTATTTATGAAAATGATTACATACAAATCTTTCCAATTAAGTTCTCTAGAAGCGCCCAACACTTAATATCATCTAATATTCCTAATATCAGTAAAAAAAATGTTAAGAATTATGCTAATAACACTAATAGTAACGCTAATCTATTTCCAGAATATGACAGTTTTACCAGAGAAATTTTGTCAGGAGCTTCATTTCACGATAATTATAATTAATAAATAATATAAATAATTTCATTACTTTCCGTTTCACGACCATCATTGTTCATAGATTTTTATCGCAAACTACGACATTTCGGTTGGTTACGATTTAAACATTCCCTTTCTTATTTTCCTATCCATATCTATGTTTTTTTGTAAGATTCAGGGAACTAATTAAGGCAAATTGTAAAGAGTTGTTAAGAAGAGACTTTATAAGGCTTAAAAGGATTAAAAAGACCCAATTCCCATTCACTGGATTTTATTGGCTGATTACGATTCCATTATTTATTATTTATCCCTGAATTCTAATGCTAAATGAGGCAGTGAAATGAAATTATGTAAATGCAAATCAAAATGTGGATCTCTTTTTTTTGAACTTTTTTATTCGCATATTAATTATTGGGTTAAATCATCCATTGAAACAATTCTTGCTACCATCTGGGCTTTCAACTGGATATATTTATAGCACATAAATATTTATAGCACAGATTAATCGATCCTCAGCCTTGGCAAATGCCACATATGCCACATTTTTTGCCTTTTTGCTTGTAAATACTTAATTTCTTCTTTCGCCCGAAATATGACTATAATTACCATACATTCAAATCATATGCCATATAAGCCATGGTATTCCTCTCAACGAATGCGAACCTTTAAAGAAGCAAGATCCTGCGAGAACTGATAATTCATCGAATAAATCGATCCAGAGTTTTCGACGCACACATGACCAGGTTCAAATTTAAAATGCGAAGATGCAACTCTCCGGAAAGTCTCTCTTGCTAGGAACGGTTGAAATAAGGCTGAGTTGAAATTCAACTCAAACATAGTTAAAACGTCGAGTTATGATTGGCGGCAAATTATCCAAGGAATTATCCTCAAAGAACAACAAGATACGACCGTTTCGGATTTACTGCACGGGTAATAATCAAATGCAAGAGAAAAGACTGGCTTGCAGACTGTAAAAATTATAATTATAAATCGAAAATATAAAATTGTCTAAACAATGGCCTAGTCTCACATAATTCTAATCCTTAATGAATCTAAATTATATTTTTCAAACTTAGTTGAGGAAGAGCCGAGATTGTGGAAGATTAGCAGCAGAAGCGATTAATTTGCTCTCTCGATTAATTTTTGAATTCAAAAAAATTGTTAAATCTAAGACAGGGCACTTCACGCTAAATATTCTCTGGGAGACGAAAGTTTTCCCATTTTCTAAATCACATTTAAAAACTTGAAATCTTTTAACTGTAATTCGACTATGCAAATTGAAATCCAAGTTTTTAGCAGTCATAAAAGAGGAAATGCCAGAAACAGGACTGTTTTCTCCTAAAATTATAGTGATGGCGCACGGCACACGGCACATCATACAATATCAAAAAGGATGAAGAAATCCTACGCGTAGCCCTTCGCGCCTCAGATACTTTAGGCCTACGCATTCTCCGCGTGCCATGTTTAGTGATATTTGCGTATAAAACGTTCCGTCCTCACATACATATTTCTATAAATATTCCGTAAATAAATGCATAAAAATTCCACCATCCGTTCAACTGAATCGTTGCGTTTTATCGTTGCGACTACTTCATTAATCAAGTCGCATGTCATTATTTATTAGCCACTTTTCTTCGCTTTTAAGCCGTCCAATACTTCGTTCATTCTTTTCATATCACTCAATTGCTTTCCCTTATCATTCGGTGATGCGACTGCATCATTCGCTTCTTGGCGATTCCGATGCGGTGAAATGCATCACCAAATCATTTTCTGCATTTCTAGCCGAACAACCCGACACAGCACTATGCTCCATTCCGACAAATTGTATCATAAAAATAAGCCATGCACAAAGGTTCCGACGACCCCTCTCCGTATCTTTTCTTTCCACTCGGACATTTTCTATGGGACTCATTTGGCACTTTGGACGCCACCAGATAAACAAATGATCTACAACCAACTGTTTTTGCAACGTAAACAAATATTTCGAAAACTTCTTCCAGGAAATCCACCGGAAGCCGATTTTTTAAACTATCAACCAACTTCCTGGCCGATTCTTCTTAAAAAGCAGCCAATGTGGTTATGCGTTACGTCTGCAAAATTGATTTGGGAACGCGTTATTATTGCCGTGGGGTATATTTTTTGTACTGGCGTGTCATTTATTGGTCGCTTTTTTAGCACCGTCGGGGTTATAGGTCGTCGAATTAAAGTGCAGGTATTGATTCGTTGGTAAGGAACTGCGGAAACCAATAAGGAACAGATGCCTTTTTTTTTCTTCTCTTCTTTCTTTAAAAACTCCGATGAAAAGGGTTTTTCTTTCTTTCTTTCCAGTGAATCTAATATAAAAAGAAAGGCTCTGTCGGCGAACGATTCGAGGAACGTTTATTCAGGACTGACACTCTTTGAGTGAGCTGAATGACTGATCAGCCGGATATCACCTGTTAGTTTTATTTTTTCATTTTGTTATTTCTTATTTTTTGGAATTTTCTCTTCCGCAGTAATATTACCGAACGGCTTCGTTTGCCTACTCCTTCCTCCTTACGTTTCCTTTTCTCCATCTTTGTCCATACATTTGCCATTTGTCAACCACTGTTTGTGGTTTATAGAATGCAGATTGTGACCAAGATCGTAATATCTTATGTAGTTCGCTTACCACTTCTGGTGTAGCTCATTTTACAGCCATTAAAGTTTTAGCTGAGCCTTTTTCTTTTTGTTTGCATTGGTCGATTCACTCGACTTTTTTAGTAGCTTGCACCACTGCTAGTTTGGTTCGCTCAACTGGCGACTAAGGACGTTTCCAGATTTCCCGATATGATTCCATTTATGAGAGTAACTGAAAACTTCTTTTTCTTCCTTGTATACCTCTTTATTACTGGGCCAAATACTTCCTTCGGTCCAAATTTTGATTGGTGATTGGCCATTCCCGCTTTTCGACGCCATTCATCAAAAGGTTCAGCAAGTAATGAGACATGGGTCAGTTGCTGTGGTAGATGAAGAAAAACATGGCTAAACTAGTTGAATATTTGTGGAGATATTCTTAATGCAGATGGTATCTATTTAATGGCACCTTATACAACCTTAGTCTTTAGGCAAGAATGTTCCATGGCAGATATCTTTCTGAAATTTTCCACTAACATCGGCCGAATTTCAAATCCAAGTAGAATTCAAATTCAAGTAGAATTATGCATGCTGCTGCAGTCAAATAGATGCGAATTTTTGTTTTGAGGCAGATTTTGCGGCGATTCCAGAGAGCTTTCGCCAGACGAAAAAAAGATTAAGTTTGACCATTTTAAGTGGAAGTTATCATGACCCCTATATATGGAAGTGGATCCAAGAATTGAATCAGTAACTTAATCAGTAATTTCAATCGTTGATGGATTTATATAAATTTTGATCTTATGAGAGTCTGCTATTTAAGACATAAAGAGTCTTATTTACATTGATTAGGATTTTCGCTGCTGTTGTTGAAAGCTGTTCTAATGTTTATTGCGTTTCCTCGTGACTGGACTGTCAAAAAAGGACATCAGCGCATTCAAGGTTATATTTATTATGTTCTGGGTTGATCTTTATACTTGAATGCATGTGGAATCCATAACCAAATAATTGAAAATTATAAGGGAGAAAATGCAACCTTGAGACACATCAGTATGTATTTCAAAAGATTGTCTGAGTTCTGCCTACACGCATATCTCCGTATTTAATAAAATATTGCGATAAAGCTGATAGTTTTACTTCCTTAGAACACCATTTTGGCATGTATGATTTGCTAGAGCCCCACTGTAGTGTCCGAATCATCGGCAAAGCTGATGAAGCCATGAAAATGGTCTGCTTTTGATACTTGAACAATGCTTCAACATATGAAAATTTGCGTAAAAATTCGATCTGTACAACCAAACCCTGGCTTATATCCGGTTGCGATACATCCTATATCACTGCCATGGGTCCTCACCAAAAAAGAGGCAAAATTCTTCGCAGAAACTAGAAAACTCCTCGATGGATAGTTAATCACAATGTATCCTATCACATTTTGAAAATTGGAAGCAAAATTGCCATGTTTTAGTTACGTGGTATTTGCTTCCTATAGTACCGCATATAATTTTAATTTTTTTACAAATTTTTTTCTACAGAATTACCGATAAATAGTATTTCTTGAAATGGGCACTCCAGAAGTTGGACTGTTTGTATCGCTTCGTTTGAGATCCAAGGCAGATTTAGCTGGTTCTTGAAGGTAGTTAACTGGTATTGATATTTGGTAGTTCTGCAGTTCCTAATGTTCTTAAAATTCTTTAGGTGCTTGAGTGCATCAGTTTGTTGAATCTTTTAACTTAAGATGGTCGAAAGATTTTGTGTACATTTTTTTCCATACCGTTAGTTTCATTGTGATCTTGGCTCTAACCATATCATTGTGGTTAATTTCGTTAATCTGACTTGAGTGGTGGTTGATCTGGTGAATTTCATGGAATTAGATGTCTTCTGCAATATTGAAAGCATTAGTGGCAAAAATCCCATGTTCCTCAGTAAAGTGAGGAAGTTTCAAGATACATATCGGATATCACTGCCAGTCAAATTAATGAGACAGCCTCACATCTTACATCAACATTCTAATCTTTCACGATCATGTTTTTTGGGAGAGATATGTGAATATAGAATTTATCCAGGTCACAACCACGACATAGAAATATAAGCAGTGATGGTCAAGATATTACAGAACTTGCCTTTAAAGGATCATTTAACAGGATTCCGATTAGAGGTGAGTGAGATCATGTGGACGTGGCAACATCCCTGAGTAACCATGGTGATACAGCCAGTAGTTTTTATCGGAACTATAGTTGTTCTGGACTCAGAATTAGGAAAGTGAAAGAAATAGAATTTAATATTTCAGACCTGTGTATTTGGATAGAATTTAATATCACATAGCTCTCTACTTTCTACATCCATAAGCACCTTTTGACGGCTACAATTTTCGCTATGTACACTAAACCACCTGAATTTCTTTAAGTGGGTTAGTTTCCTCAGCTTTGGAACTCGCACAACCTTTTTTTTCAATCATAAGTGGTCTATTCACAGACAATTCAATATACTTTCATCTCTTTGTTCTCTTCCATGGTTTTGATGGAAACCAATTAAAAGCATCTGTTTTTTTTTGTAGTTAATATATTGGATTTATGTAATTATTTAACTTTATTTTTTGAAATATTAATATTTTAGATATTTTTAGATTAATTTCAACTTGGAAATTTTAATTTATATGATATATATTGTGTTGGATTTTTTTATTATATTTATTTTTATTTTATATTTTATTTTTTTTTTATTAAAATCTCGTCTATTAATCAGAAGTTTCATTAATAGAAAATTTTTTATATATCCAGAAGTTCATATATTTAAAATTATTTATAGGTGAACAAGACGATAAGCCTTCAACAAGTGTTGCATCGACAAATAAAATGCCTGAAAATGCACAGAATATCGCAGTTACAGAGGCTAGTTCAAGGTCGTTTGATTTCCTCTTTTATCAGCTCTAACTTATGTTTTAAGAAAAGTTGTGGCCATTTTTCAAAAGAAAAACTTTCAGAGGTGCTGACGCCGTAGATATGTTGGCTAAGGAAGCTGAAGAACTACGGAAAAAATTGGAAACTGAACGACAAAAACTTAATGATGTTTCAAGTATTTTTCTGATTCTGTCTGCTAGAGATATAGATGGATAGATTCGCAATATTTCCTTCTTTTTCCTTTTTCCTTCACTGATTGACTAATTGCTTTAGTTGAACAAGCTGCGGAAAGGTTAGAAGCTTTAACTCAACTTAATATCAAGCAACGGCGCATTTTAAAAGGTCATGCTGGCAAAGTTTTATGCATGGATTGGTCATTAGATAAACGACATATTGTTTCATCTTCCCAGGTGTGTTATTTTTTGAAAATAAGAACTGGATTTTACGTTTCAAGTTTTTAATTGAGATTATTTTTAGTAGATAATAAATTATAAATAAGTTACAAATAGGATGGTAAAGTTATTGTTTGGGATGGTTTTACAACAAATAAAGAACATGCATTGACCATGCCAACGACATGGGTAATGGCTTGCGCATATTCTCCTAGTGGACAAATGATTGCATGTGGGTAAGGATTTTAAGTATCTGGTCATAACTTTTGATTAATTTTTTTTCTACTTTCTTTTTTTTCTTAGAGTTTTTCACCATTTTTGATTAGGTTGGCTACGCTGGCTTGTCGGATTAAACAATTTTTGCTGAGAAATCACTTGTAAATTTTTCACTTGGTGACTGAAGCAGATGAATTGCCAGCATTACTCGGAATTTCGAAAAGTAAATATCCGAGGAGAACGCACTATCCGAGGAGTATCAGCACTCTGAAATGAGAGCAAGAACCCATTGACCATGCTCCTAACACTTTACAATGATAATAATTTTAGTGGCCTCGACAATAAATGTTCTGTGGTACCACTTAGTTTTGAAGATGATATTCTGCAAAAACGACGTTCAGTTGCAACTCATACTAGTTATATGTCGTATTGCATGTTTTTACGGTCTGATAATCTGGTTTGTGGCATTTATATTTATTTGATTTGCTATTCATAATTATTTATTTTATACAGACATATCAAACATTTAATATAATCAAATACCGAGTAATTGGCCTAGTTTATTTAGATGCTTACTGGCAGTGGAGATTCAACTTGTGCAATATGGGATGTAGAAAGTGGTCAGATGATTCAAAATTTTCATGGTCATACAGGCGATGTTTTTGCATTAGATGTGCCCAAATGTGATACTGGAAACATTTTTATTTCTGGAGTAATTTTATACATTTTAATTTTATCGTAAAGATTTTTTTCGAACAGATTTTTCAAAAGATATCACCATATATATTATTTGTTATGTAAAAATGAGAATTTTCATAAAAAATTGTTCGTTAAAATAGAAAAGAAAAAAATTCAGAAATTATTCTATTTTGCTTTCTTTACACATTTGTACATTTCATCATTGTCTTAATTATAGGGGGCTGATAAACATGCCCTCGTCTGGGACATACGAACTGGGCAGTGCGTTCAAAGTTTCGAAGGTCATGATGCAGATATCAATACAGTTCGATTTCATCCAAATGGTGACGCATTCGCAACTGGATCCGATGATGCATCGGTTTATATTACTTGAAATTATTGAAATCATTTTTAATGTAGAAATATCTATGAAATTAGCATTTTCCTATCTGGATGAGATAGTATAAATTGTGGCGATTTATTCACGGTCTTAAAGTTCTTCTTTAAGTTCTTCAAATTATTTATTTTAATGAATAATATTCTCAGAAGGAAAATATTCTGTTTTGTCGATTAATATGTTTTTTATCGTAAAATATATTATTTATTCTTAACATTTTTGTCCAATACATATTCCAATACATTTTGATTCTTTTATATTTTAGTGTCGTTTATTTGATCTCAGAGCAGATCGTCAAGTATGTGTGTATGCTAAAGAATCTGTTTTGTTCCCGGTTAATGGAGTTGATTTCAGTTTAAGCGGTATTTTTATTAATCCAAGTTAATTAGATAAGGATTTCATTTTTTTTTTTTTTGAAAAAATAGATAATATGATTTGATTAAAGCCGATTTCAATGCAACATTTTTTTTGCTGTTTTTTGCATCATTTATCTTTTTCTTGCATTTATTTTATTATCCTGTACTAACCCAAGCTGAAATTATGAACGCCTGAATCCTGGATCAAGAATAGTGGTTTTTTTTAGGTCGAATATTATTTGCTGGTTATGGAGATTATCGTGTTGGTATATGGGACTCTTTGAAATGTGTGCGGCATTCTGTTCTTTATGGGCATGAAAATCGGGTTTCATGTTTACGTACAAGCCCTGACGGTACAGCAATTTGTACTGCTAGCTGGGATTGTACAATCAGAGTAAGTGACTTTTTCCACATACCTGCATTTAAGGCATATATTGTTCTTTTCTCTTGGTCAGCTAGAAATAAAAAGTTTCAGGCTTCGAAATATTTCCAGTAGTTTTTTATTTTTTCTTTTAACTTTTTTTATTATATTAAACTTTTTCGTGAATTCGTTTAAATTCATATTTTTTAGATCTGGGCTTGAAAATAAAATAAAATTTTTTGAATGTATATGCGTATTTGGTTAAATCATATGGCAAGTAATATTCGTTGTAGAATTTATCATCTTATGTTTGGCTGTTTTCTCTTTTGAAAAATCTAAGGGGAATTATCTACGAGCAAAATTTATCGAGCAAAATTTATTTGCGGTGAATGAAATAATAGAATAGGATATTCAATTATACTGTTTTAAAATTGCTTTGCTCTTTTCATGTCAGAATAAATGTTAAATTATTGCAAATTAAATTTTTTTCTTCGTCTTTCTTGGGCCTCAATCTGGCACCGTAGTATCAAATAAAAATCTTATGTTTTAATAACATTTTGGTCAAATCTTTTCAGCTTTAAGATTACAATACTGGTTCTAATGATTTACTTATTTTACTATATAATTTGATTTTTAAGAAATATGGTTATTTTAATTTCAACCTGTGTTGTCCTTGTGTTAGAAGATTATTAAATGATTCTTATGTAGGAAGAAACAATTTTTCGAATTGCTTCAGTTGTTGTAAATTATGTTCGTGACTGTAATAAATTTCATATGTCTCTGTAATAAAATGTAATAAACTTCATACGTCGAATCACTTATTTCTGATGGTATATAAAGTAAAATGGGCTTAATAAAAAGTTTATGCATATGTTTCTTCTTCTAACAGCTGTCATCATGATTGATTAGGGTGACTGCGCTGGTTGCAGTGAAATGGTATTTCCAAGCTTCTCGTTTTGTTGCCATTGCTAATAGTTAAAAAAATCATTCCTTTTTCCATCATCTAAATCAATATATCGATACCCCCTATGCAATAAAAATTTTTCTTGATTAAAATAGTCCAGGTCTCAATTGGCCCTTATCGATTTTGACTGGGTTTAGCAAGCAATAAAGTATTAGCTGCTGTGGTGGGTGACGAAAAATGTGCCCTAAACACCATAGGCGCTCTGTTATGGTAATATGGATGGTATTTGAATGGATAATCATGCTGCCGGGAACGACCGAAATTAAAACTTAAAATAAAAAATAATAAAATAAAAAAAATAATAATAATGATAATACGGTAAGAATTCATCAAACCTTTTTAAAATTGAAAAAAAAGGAAAAAACAACAAATTTTTAATTTTAAAGTTTTTAAAATTTTTACATCAACAATATGCAAATCACACAAAATTGCTTCTTTCTTTATTTATATATCTGTAAGCTAATTTGTAAAAATTTCTTATTATCAAAAAAATAAATTTTAGAAAACATAGGAAATTTCCTCGGATAAAAATAAAGTAATATTCTTACTTATAATCGACTAAGTATAACTCCCAACCAGTTTTGTTTATTTTTTTGGATTAACCAACCACTCATTCGCCTTCACCTCTTCTTTTTTTACCCTTAACAATCATTTTTACTTCGAATCTGTTAACTAATCTTTTCCATTTATTATTGTAATTTTTAATAAATATTTTTATGCACGGTTGCAATTTCACATTCCGGCACATGCAAGATTTTATCCTCTCCGCCTTTAAAATGTAGCTTAGGCATGAGTGGTCAAAGAATAATAACTTCTTAATATTCTCCACTCTTATTGGCCATGTTTCGCAACCAAGATCGAGCGAACGAAATGTGGGTTTCCGCATTTATAGTGATTTCGCGACGGCTCCACAAAGCTTTCGCCAACTGGAAGAAGGCATTTCTGACTACCATAGTTATAATTTGCTTGGCGGTTTGGGATTAGAGTAAATTCGAAATATTTAAAGTCTGGCATTCCTCAACCAATTATTTCATTATTTATTTATAATATTTCCATATCTAGCGTAAGTAAAAATGTCCTTAAAAATTTTGCATGGTGATAGTGATATTTAGCGATATTTTACCAACAGAATTCTTGGTTAAAATTTCTCATGGCTGTAATACTAATAATAATTTCTCATATCTAGTGGAGGCATTCTAACCGAACCGAACTAGTGAGTGCTAATCATTTACATAAACAACAAAATTTGATATTAAAATCTAAACTAATCTGAATCTAAGAATTTAAGAATATGATTTTTCATTAATTATTGGCCATAAAATGGTGCTGAATGGTAGAAATTTCCTATTCTTCCTTTGTGGATTTTTATATCTTAATGATCTTGTTGCATTTTTCCTCGTCTTGTAGAGTTCATTTATAGTAAGAAATAAGTAAATAGTTAGTGCCTACTGGTTAAGGCTTGCTCCACTAGCTTAAGCACGGGTTAGCAATTACGATAGAGAAGAAATATAAGTGGGTTGCCATTTGCACTCATTTCTAGCAATCTGAAAAAGGTAGTAATCCTTGGTTTTTACGCAAAATGAAATACTTCGATGTAAAATTAGAAAAATGAAATAAATAATGAAATAATGAAATAAAATTGGAAACTTAACTACGCTAAAAAATTTATTTTTTTTTTAAAAAGTATTTTTTTAATTTCATATTTATATTTACACATTTTATTCATTACCTCTTGAATTTTGAATTAAAGTATATATATGAAAAAAATGTAAAGATATAATGTAAGGATAAATATATTTCTTCGCACCATTACTAGTTAGGCTGGCTTCAACGGCTCGCTACAAGGGTAAGACTTCCAAGTGGCGCGGTCTGATGCCATCGTCGACAGTAATAGAAGCCATTCCTTTTTCCATTGTCTAAATCCATATATTACTGGTCCACCTATATTTTTCCATTGTCTAAGTCCATATATTGCTGGTCCACCTATATCAAAATATTTTTTGACCGTATCAGTCCAGAGCGTCTAAACCCATCATAGTTGTGAATATTGCGCTTGTGGTTTAGTGACAATATTGTTGCAAACTGGTTCAGCGAAATTGGTTTGTGTTCAGACCGGCCGGCGCAACACGTTTTGGAAAATTGCTAGTGTCGCGAAAAAGGTGAAAACAAAAAGAACATCTTCAAATCGTTATAGGCTGCTAAGGATAACGTCGATCGATGAAACCTACTTTAAGGCCAATTATACTTTTAATCTTGATATATAATTGATTTATATTGACATTTTACTATTACAATCTTTATTTTAATCTCTTCAATGGAAAGGTCGCTTTGTTCATCTTCGTTTATCTATCATTTATCTATTATCTATCAGTTTCTTTATTGGTTTCTTTATTAGTGAAAAATAATTAAAGCTTAGAACTGCGAAGCGAAATAGCCTCCACTAAAAGGATCTCAAGTGTCACTGTATTTTCCATATTCATTAGTAAAGATTCGGGTTGAATATATTCAGGAATTAAAGGAACTAACACTTTCGTCAGTATAAAAAACTTGGAACCATTTTAATTTATTCGCCATTTCGAATATACGCCTATACGAATACGTCAAAGAAGGAGTTAGAAACACTGCGCTGCAAACAGAATGTCGGGTTTGTAAAAAAATTTGGATTTTGAAATAGACTAACGAAACTTTTTCCCAATTTTTTTTCGTTTCAGAATTTGCTAATCCCCTCCCGTCGCGAAATTGCGTATAGTTACTCTTGTAGTGTTTCAACTCCTTTTGGGCTTTTTATCTCCACTCCTATCAGCAATACTGGAAGCTTCTTTTCGTATTCATTTGACTACATTTTTGGTTTCCTTTATAGGTGGCATCATCGTTACTTACGCAATACATCTGAGTTCCCATCATTTTATGCAATATTGATGTAATATTACCTGTTTGAACCAGAGATTGAACACCTATCAATCTCTCGAGATTAGTATGGGTTTGAATCTGGTCTACACTCTTTCGAATACAAAGGATTTCTAAGCGGTCGTAAATATTAATAAATATTATCAAAGAGATCAAAGCTAAGAAAGCGAAGAAAAATTAGTATTAGTTCGAATAAGAACTAAGGAAAATATATTTGTATACATAATATAATTCCTTACAAAAATTCCTTACAAAATTCCTTACAAAATATATCTGAATTTCCAACACATTACGCAATATTGCTGTACTTACCTATCGCTTTGAAAAATGGCTTAAAATTGTTGAGTGTTTATTATTTATTTATTGTTTAGTCTTATTTGCTATTTTATCCTATTAAATCAGATTATCAGATTAATTTAAACATTAATTGACGTAATTTTTTCGATTCCAGTAATCACATAAATTTCTTGCTGTATCATAAACTGAATAAGGTTGAAAGATATTTTTAAAGCGGTCGATTCGATACAAATTAAATATGTCAGAAAGCTTTTTAGAACCCATTTTTACAAATAAATAATCGGTTTTGAGATAACTATGTTGACTGTAAACAACTCACTTGGCCATTTGTTAAGGATTGCTAAATTCTTGCAAAAAACTTTAAAAAGTCGCATAACCAAATCAAATCTAAAAGAAATCATTAAATAATTAAATTTTTATGAAATATTTCGCTCATAGAATATTTTTATTATGAGCATTGATTCTCTTCTTTTCTGTTATGGTGACATGAATAATCAGCGCTTTTTATAATGCAGGCAGTCTATGATTTTTTTATATCTCATCAGAATTCAATGTCATATGAAGGAGATTGCAAAACGAGAGATTTTCATTAAAAAAATTAATGTTTTGAATCGCACTGCATTTTGATGTGAATATTGCTTTGTCTAAGGCCATATTCATATATTATGGAATGTGCGGCGTATATCAGCAATTAAAAATGAAATCTTGTTGTTGGTTATAGCGTTAATTCCAGAATTCAGCCAAAATAGCGAGAATTTTTTTCTTCATAGATAATTCAGTTTTTCCATGCTTTTCCATCTTCAAAGAAAATGAAATATAACAAGAATTTGTATTCGATGAAGAAAAACCATGTTTTAAAATTATTTTTACACCATGAAATATTCATCTATTTATTCATTTATGCCACATTACTAAAATATATTAAAAAAATTTATATAAAAAAAAAATTTATATAAAAAATTTATATAAAATATATAAAAAATTTCTTCGTCCAAACAGGTTTCTCAATTCACTGTCGCTCTTTGGTATATGAAATTTAGATGAATATCATTTT